ATTTTTCACTGTTTTCATTTGGCAATGCAATTTCCACTCTTTGAGAGTAACTATAAATCATTTAAACAAAGATAAATGAGATTTGAAATTTTGAACTATTTTTGGTCAGTTATTCAGTATTATCACAACCATTTTCATATCCATTTAACAATTGTCAGTCTATTTACTTCATGATCATCCATAGAAAGAAGCGTCTAGAGCAATATTTCCATGGATTTTTTTTCCTGGTTGACATAAATCTCAACTTATCGACATTTGTACCAAATCAACCATGTCCAAATATCTTCAAGTTTAGATTTTGTTTCCAGTCTATTGTCATCATTGTCCATAGAAAGGATCGTCTTGAAAAATATTTCCATTGCCCGTACGACTTCAAGCAGCAGAATATGAAGTTTAGGAGGAGAAAACCCTGGTTCTAATACACATAAATCTCAACTTATCAACATTTGTGCCAAATCGACCATGTCCAAACGACTTCAAATTTAGATTATATTTCTAGTCTAATGTCATCATTGTTCATGGAAAGAAGCGTCTTGAATAATATTTCCATTGTCTATACAACTTCAAGTCTAGTTTTGTTTTGTTTTCAGTCTATTGACATCTTTGTCCACTCATCTAGAGCAATATTTCATGATTATTTTTGTGGTACACATAAATTTCAACCTTTTAACATTTGTCCCAAATTGACCATGTCCAAATGACTTCAAGTTTAGATTTTGTTTGCCAATCTATTGATGTCACATAGTCCCTAAAATTAAAGAAGTGTCTAGTGCAATATTTTCATAGTTATTTTTTTTAGTAGGCATAAATCTCAACTTTTCAACACGTGTGCCAAATCGACCGTGACTATAATTTTAGATTTTGTTTTCTTGCACCACCACTCATTGACTTTCAATCTGCACCCTTTGCCCATCGTTTCACACCTACGAAATACATGAAAATATTTTTCAGCTTAAAATTTAGTCCCAAAATTTCTCATTAACTTTCAAGTACTACTTTGCATTCCAAACAAATTCCAAGGACTTGCTTCATCCAAAATCTTCAACAACAAAAAACTATAAAATTTTCCAATATACAAATATTTATAAAACCAAATGAACCCACTAAGCAGCCTTCTAACTTTGTGTTTCATAAATCAGAAATGCAAGGATTAGAATTTCTTATAATTAATGACTTGTTCAAGTGCATAACTCTTCCGGCCAATCTTTTGGATACCATATGATGTAGTACATAATCGTGATTAGTAATTTTCTAGTTTTAATAGGTTTATCTTTTTATTTTTTTTTCTTTAGGATATGATTTTTTTTCTTTATTGATTAGAATATGATTTCTAATTTCTTTTAGATTAAAATTTTATATTAGTTTCCTTATTTTAATTTCCATATATTAATAGGGTCAATGATAATCTTGCACATAAATTTTGTTTTCATCAACAATTTGACGCTAGAAGGAGGCCCGATTGCTAAACATCATTATCACATTTACATAGAGGGCTTCTTTGAAGTCTAGCTACTTTTCCAGCCCGTTACTGAATTAAGAAATTGCAAGTTGCTAATTAGTTGCTGTAAGAATGCCCCAACTCTCAAATTACATATCCAATCAACTTAATGAGATTATATACTGCGTGAAATTCCGAAGGCAAGAAAAAAAAATTGTATATCAAATGGGAACTAGGAGCCACCAAAGTCACTATCAGATTAATTAGTAAAATGTGATGTAAACAAGTAACCAATAATTAGAAATTTTCTTTCATTATCCTTGTCACTGTCATAATTTATTTTATCAAAATAATGTTGAATCCTTCGATAAACAAATTGTTTTATCAAAAAAAATTCAAAGTTTAATTGATAAATGGTCAAAGACGACAAATTTATAACTATGAAAACTAACTTTGATAAATTTTATGAATGTTTCTATTTATCAAACTTTAATTTTAATTACACATTTTATGTGATTCACATTTTAATTTTAAACTCACGTATCATCAACTTTTAAACTCACGTATCATCAACTTTTATGCTAAAACTTTTTATAAAAATCTTTGTCATACAACGAATATTCTTGAAAAATTCTTCTTGCCAGCCTGATATTCAATTAAATAAATCGCAAGTTGTTTTTTGTTTTGGGGAATCAATGCTAGTATATTTTCCGGGTCTCATTTTGCTAAACACCCCAACTCTCTCATTTCTTACATTTTCCGTCTTTCAGCATATATCGGAAATGGCTTTTGCTGCCCTTATTTCTCTAGCTAACACTATTGAGCAGAATCTACACCACCATCTGATTCCTGATAAACAGCAAATTGAAGCACTTCTTCAAGAAGTTATTTTTTTACAGAATTTTCTTGAAAATTCTTTACATAGACTTGACGACAAAGTAGAACGTTTGGAGAGTCAAATCAGAGATGTAGCATACAGAGCTGCAGATATCGTAGAATTGCACCTTGTTGATGAACTTCTTTCAAAATCAGCAATTTATGCTTTTGAGAACTCCACAACCTTCAATCAGGCCTTAGAGAAAGTAATTGAAGAAATACATTCCATTAAGCAAGAGGTGATGAAGATTGAGGACGAGATTGTTATGCAAGATCTGCAGCCAAGGACTTCGTTGGGTGCTGTCTCATCTAAACCTACTCTCAGTGGCGAGAGCACGATGGTGGGTCTTGATGATGAACTCGAGGAGATCAGGACTCGGCTGGTCACGGGATCATCAAAACTTCAAATTCTCTCCATTCTTGGGATGGGTGGAATCGGTAAGACAACTATGGCCAGAAATATGTATGACGATTTATCTATTAAAGATCATTTTTATATTCGTGGTTGGGTAACTATATCTCAAGAATATAATGATCGAAAAATAATATTAGATATTTTAGATTCCATGAAAATGTTCCCTGACAACATGCTTGAAGAGAGTAGTGATAAATTGAAGGGGCTTCTTCACAAGACTCTAAGCCGTACGAGATACCTCATTGTTCTAGATGATGTGTGGGATGAGAAGGCATGGGATGATGTGAAAAGATTATTTTCAAATGACAATAATGGAAGTCGAATCATATTGACTACTAGGTTAAAGAAGGTGGCTGATCATGCCAACTCTTGTCCTCCACTTCATCAAGTGCGCTTTCTAAACAACGTTGAAAGTTGGAAGTTATTTTGTGACACGGTGTTTGGCCAGGAGGGTTGTTGCCCTCCTGAACTGGATGAAATTGGGAAGCAAATTTCCCAAAATTGTCGAGGGCTTCCACTCTCAATTGTTGTGATCGGGGGGCTCCTATCAAAGGCCATCAAAACAGAATATTATTGGCGAAATATTTTGGAAAATTTGAACTCAACAATAACTTCAAGTGATGAACAGTGCTTAAAAGTACTATCATTAAGTTACAAACGTTTGCCTCATCATTTGAAAGGTTGTTTACTCTATATGGGAATTTTCCCAGAAGATTTTGAGATTAGTGTATTCCAACTTGTGAATTTATGGGTTGCTGAAGGAGTTCTAAAGCCAATAAGATCTAAAAGCTTAGAAGATGTGGCGGAGGAGTATCTGTTTGATCTTGTAGAGAGAAATCTTGTTTTGGGTGGTAAGAAGAACTCCATGGGCAAAATCAAAACATGCAAGATTCATGATATATTGAGGGACTTGTGTGTGAGACAATCTAAAAAGGAGATGTTTTTTCGCCCCAGTTATTCGCATGGCCTCGATCTATCGAAAGGTAATGCTTCACGTCGTATAGTTGTTCATCCTTGTACAATGAAGCTTGACCATGACGCCGAAATATGTTCAAGTTTTCTACCGCGGTCCTTTCATTTTTTCAGTTCGAGAAAGCTTCCAGATACAATACAAAGTTCAAATTTTAGGCTTCTCAGAATATTCCATATATACTCTTGCAAGTCATTTGCATGGAAACAACTGGTTAGCTTGCGGTACCTCCATTTCCCAATGTCTTATAATTCTAAGGTTTTGGCATCTGTGCATAAATTTCGGCACCTACAAACCTTAATTGTTACGCGTATAAGGCGTGAGGATTGGAGTCGTATGAACTCAAAAATATGGAAAATGAAAGAGTTAAGGCATGTCGTGATTAAGCCTAAAATACATCTTGATCCTCCGTCTAGAGCAGTTGTTCTAGAAAACCTACAAACACTGACCATGATAGAGAATTTCATATGTACAGAGAAGGTCCTCAAAAGAATTCCAAATCTAAAGAAGCTCAGAATATGTTACAGATATCCACTGCCATCGAAACCTCAGGATATGAAAAATCTCTTGGGTCTCCATAAACTTGAAGAATTAACATTCCAAGAATTAACATTCCAACGATCTAAGCCGTTTGTGCCTTTCTGGAAGAACCTATCTTTCCCTCCTTCACTCAAAAAGTTAACTTTAATTGATGTTCCCTGCGGTAGGAGAGAAATGGAGATGATTGGTTCATTGCCTAATCTTCAAGTGCTGAAAATCAAAGGACGACAGTTCTCTTGCTTAATGTGGAAACTAGGAGAAGGAAGATTTCTTCAACTGAAAGTTCTGCTACTTGATAAAGTTCATCTTGAGGGATTGATAGCTGACAGTATCCACTTCCCAGAACTTCAGCGCCTAGTCATTAAGAACTGCGGAGACCCGGAGATCCCTATTGGTATTGGAGAAATTCCAACTCTTCAATCCATTGAGCTTTATCAATGTGATATTTCAGTTATAAATTCAGCAAAGCAAATACAAGAGGAACAAGAGAACTTGGGAAATGATAGTCTGCGAGTTCTTATTAGTGGTGAATATCAGCAGTCAAAGAAGTTCAGGTTAGATTTTCTTTTACTTTGTGTTTGTGTTCTGATAAGTGTGTTTTTTACACACTTATTAGACACTTTTCGGAGTTAATTATAATTGAAATTGAGTAGATTTCTATGCATAATTGTGTAATTTTCACTGTTATAGGCCAAAACCCCGACAAGAAGGTGAACAAGGCAAAAGGAGAAGAAAGTTGGAGGACTTGTAGTACAATTTATCAAGGACTTAGAATTGTTTGATGTTTGAAATTGTTATTGATTCATCAGCTATGCATGACCAGATATGCTATTGGT